CATGCATCATGATGATAAAGTTGATGATAATGGTAATGGCGATTAAGATAATGATCATGCCCCACCCCCAATCCCACTGTTTCTATAAAATATTTGACGAACACCTTATGCTTAAATTCTTCTCTTGTGAAAATAGGCCCTCACTTTTGCCGTTGGAAGTCGCACAATTCCCCATGCCTTTATTCTGTTGTCTGGCAGATCCGGGCCGCGATGTGCACTTGACTGGAAGATCATACACATAGTGTAGTGTTGTTGGCTTCACCATTGATGCAGCTTGTTTAGTCATTTACACACCTGCGTACGCGTCACCTGAGCGGGGGCGTGTTTAGCTCAGTTTGTTTCTGCGCACCTGAAAATTGGTTTATACGCACCAGATGCAGCAAATTATTCATGCGTGGTTTACTCACTCCGCACGCGCACGCTTTCTTTCCGCGTAATCGTCTTCACCATCATAGTCTTATAACACCGCGTATCGTTAAGTCACCTTCCTGTGTGGGTTCCTGGGCCCCGTTGTGGGGTAAAAACAAGAATAGACCCACTGCCTCCCCACACAAGCATGTCGTAAGAATCGATTAATTGGGACGGTTTCCTTCGAAGTCGGAGTGCATCTGCCTGAGAGACAAGGAACCAGCAGTCTGCACACAAACAAGTATGATCTATAATCGGATGTGCAGGCAACAGTCACGTTCTGGAAAAAGACTAGTCCAGAGGCGGACGAACAACCTGAACTTCCCGCTGGAGTTAACAGCTGGTAAACGTTAAGCAATGAAGTTAGGTCACCAGTTGCTGTTGATTTTTTTTATCGGTTCCCTCCACTTCTGTCAGACATATGAAAAGTACTTGATTGTTACATATTTTAGAGTTGTCTAGGCAGCCATATTCTTGCCCGTTCTTTCCTGGTCTGTCTCTTCTTTTCTTCCCCATTGACGAGCCCTAAAGTATCGCTCTGGAGAGGCCGGTAGATCTTATTATATGTCTGTGTACCGAAGTATCCATCATCATTCTTCTTCTTCTTCTTCTTCTTCTTCTTCTTCTTCTTCTTCTTCTTCTTCTTCTTCTTCTTCTTCTTCTTCTTCTTCTTCTTCTTCTCTAGTCCTGTTTTGCCTTTCATCTTCAGGTTGTGAAGAGGCGTCGAGTGCTAGCCCTGGTGTGTTCTAAGTAGAAGATACTGGTTGGTATTTACGTCCTTGGATATTCCTTTTACCCATTCCATCTTCTCATAGATTCATTATTGCTAATGTTTGCGTTTAATTCAAAGCTCTGTCGGTAGTTGAATGGTACATATAGATATTTGGACTGCACGATAGCCTTCAACAAGGCTTCAGGCCTGCTGATAGCCCCCCCCCCCCCTTTCCTCCCACCCACCCACCTCGTGTTGCGCTCATGGACCACAGACACTGCCATCTGCAGCATTCTCTCTAAATTCCGAGTTCTGCTAGGAATCACGTGGATATACTGTCCGGTATATGCAGGAGTGCGAGGTAATGAAAGAGAAGATTTTCTGTTAACAAAAGCGAAAGCTGCGGGAACACTTTTCTTAGACAAGGGAGATATTCTGAAGACCATGTATGAACTACTTTTGGCAGAAGACACGAGATTAGATGAAATAACATGGGCATGAATGTATGAACGAGGGATTAAGTGTGGATTTGCCAAGGAGGGGCGGATGAGAGGAAGAGAACGGCGTGTGTATAATCAGTGTGCTACGGGAACATTTAGCATCTACACCTTACGTCATTTGCTGTAGGAGACGGAGCATCTGTGGGTGTCGATTCTTAAATCAGTAATCAAACATGTATTATTATTTAATTTCTTTTCCGCTTCCGCTGTACTTTATGGCGTCCGTGACTTAGGCTTTGCGAGTCCCACTCGTATCTCCAACGTACCGCGATTGAAACATACAGCTGGCTGCGTGGATTTGTATCATGGTACGGGGCGTCGCAGGTCGACCCAATCTAAAATGCTTACCAGAATGTATGTCCTGGGGAAGTTAAGACGGCCGGTGTAATGCTGACCACATTACCCACCTAGTGCCGATTGGTCTATAACAATACGGGTGCTCTTCCCATATGCACGATGCGCCTAAAGGCGTGAAAATTGATCTTTAATTTACTTACTCCGTGTGTGCGCGCGCTTATGTGTGTATAAGAGAGAGCATGTTCGCGAGAGTGTACATGTTTGTATCTGAGAGACTATGGGCTTGTCTCTGTTTGTTGCGTTGTGTGCATGGGTGTGCTCGCCTGAACTCCACCCTGTCTACTCACATACCATACATAGATTTCACACCCACCTGACGGTCTCCTCACTCGGTAATAATTCTGTTTACCTCCAGCCTTGGTCGGTCAGAGTACCCTGAAACGTAATAGTTATGTCAGGATTATAGACTATCGACACATACAGGCGGCGGTCGCTGTAACGACTTCCCTGTGCGGTTTCCGACACCCCACTTTCAGGGCCACAAAAGAAAAAAAAACCTTCCACCCCCCCCCCCCCCTTTTTTTTTTAAACTACAAGCTTGTCATAATCTTATGAACATAATTTCCAGTATGAGAGAGTTAGTTGCGTATCCTTTACGTGACGTTGCAGAACCAATCCCAACAGCCCCTGGCTGTTGTGTGGTTTTTCTAGGCAAATTTATATCCAGTAGTTTGCCATTGCTTCTGGATGGTCGACTTTCCCGATACCACTGTCGAAACCAACGCAAGGCGCATGGCCCGCAGCTGGGATCGAACCCAGTATCCCGGCATTACGAAGCGTTCGCATCAACTTAGCCACAGAACCGATAATTTCCAGTATACAATTTTAAAACTATACCTGCCAGAAAATCGGCGTCTGTGTATTAGCGTTGGCGTTGCGAACGCGCTTCTTAATGCCGGGAGGGGTGCCGGGTTCGATCCCAGCTGCAGACGATTTGGCAAGACGTTTGTCTTGCGTTGTTTTTGACAGTAATGCTGAGAGCTGTCCGTTTAGAAACATTAGCAAACTATTGAGCGTAACATTTACCTCGAAAAATCACAACGGCCAAAAAAAGAAAGAAAAAAATGCTGGGGTTGGTTCTGCAACGTCCTGTACAGGATACGCATCTAACCACCAAGAAAAGGGTGATATAGCAAGGTGGCTGCCCAAGGGAGTAATTCCGCCGTAAAAACGTCTTTTTCCTTCTTACAAACCACAACTTCAAGCTTAAGAAATGAAGCGGAGGCGATCGCTGCAGCTTTCCGCTGGCTAGAGAACACGGCATACACACATCGCGATTGTAACTGTCTCAAAAAAGCATACTGAGGAAGGTGAGAGCAGGCATGCTTTGTGCAGAATGGCGTGCTTTAGCTTCGGAGGACATGAGTGAGGAGCATTGCCTGGATCTTTTCTCCGAATGCCGGTGTGGTGGGCAATAAACAGGCAGTCAGATTGGCGGGCTCTGCACAACTTGATGGAATATTGATGCAAGATACGGCAAACAGGATTAGGGCCTTGGTGTGTTGATTGCAGACAATAAACAAAATATGTAGTGTTAAATGGATCCAGTAACGAGATTTAAAGTAAAATTAAAAAACAAAAAACAAAAACTTAAAACATGGTGATCACAAAGGAGAAAGAAATACTAAAGTGGGTAACACATAGAAATGCAAAATTCGAAAGCAAGTGAGTAGACACAGCTATCTTGGTACAACAATAACAGGTGCAAGATGCCTTACAGAAATTATAACATAAATCACCACTGCAAAAGTGACTTTTAGCAAGATGCAAAAGGTATTAAGAAATAAGAAGACGTCAGTTGCAATGAGAACAAGTGCTAAATAACTGTATGGAACTAGTCCTGTGAAGTAAAGGCAGCCGGCGTATGGTTGACCACTTAACTGACCAAGAGCCCATTGGTCTATAGCATACATGTATAGCCCTATGTGCCCAGTACACACAAAGGCATGGAAAAGGGTCCTTTACTTACTCACTTACTATAGAGCCGGTATTATTTATTGTTTTTGTGAGACCTGCAATTTACTCGCAGTGGCAGTGTGGTTTACAGAAAGAAAGCAAACAATATAATGACATGATCAGGGCCGTGCCGAGCTATGATACAGAGATGCGGCTGTGTCGGGCTGCACCGTAAGGCTGAAGGGATAGCGGCATAAGCAGAGAAATCAGAATACAATTTGAACTTTTGATCTGGCAGCGCGAGGCTATTATGGGCAGCATTGAAGACTTGCATCTTCTTTCTTCTTTTCTCTACTCCTGGAATGCAACGTGGCATCAAGGCAGGGGGAGATTTCTGAACAAGCAGTTCTGTTCGCGTCGTTTAAAGTACTTTTCAGCGCGTCTGATATTTATGTGGTCCATCTTCTGCGTGATTGACCTCTGGCTCTGTTACCATTGTATCTGTATAAAATTTACTTTATGTGGTGCCCTGTCTTGTTACATGGCCTAACCATTCATTACTTGCATCATAGTGAGAAAATCTACTGCACTGGACTGCAAGTGATAGAAAAGCAAAGTTACTCATACAGATAAGCATATCTGAAAAACAGATGTGCATGCTTCTTTTTCTTCTTCTTCTTCTTCTTCTTCTTCTTCTTCTTCTTCTTCTTCTTCTTCTTCTTCTTCTTCTTCTTCTTCTTCTTCTTCTTCTTCTTCTTCTTCTTCTTCTTCTTCTTCTTCTTCTTCTTCTTCTTCTTCTTCTTGTGTTGGCTTTCTGATTTACACTGATAGACATGTTAGATGTGCATGCAAATTTAAGATCTAGAACAAAACTGAAGTCTAGAAGTCAGTGAACAACCAGATTTTTGTGCTGGAGTTTTAAAGCTTGTGAATGCTAAGAAGGTGAAGAAAAACTGTGTACCGATCACTGAAGATGGGGATGGAACGTTTATGGCAATACACTTAGAGTAGTGATGTTGATTTTTTAACTTGAAATATTTCTAGCCAGGGTACACACGTGGTAGGGACTTTAAATAGAAGAGAAGAGCTTTGGTGACCTAATATGTTTCTTGTTTTGTATATTACAGATCCCAGGTTTCCAGACAATGGCAAGGTAGAATTTGTGTTTGGACCAAGTTCGGACATTCTGGTGTCAGGTGAGTAGAGAATATGTGCCTTTTAACTCTTCTGGTGGCAGCTGTGTTGCTGTGACACTTTCATTCCCAATCTCAGTGTACATTAGAATACAAATGTTAGGCTTTTCATGAGTTAGACAATACCTGTATACCCATATGACTTTCCAGTCCCTTATTTCGATGAGGGAAAGATAGGGGGTGCAGGAAAATATATGCACTGTCTCTTAACAAAAATATTATAAACGGTTGATGATTTGGCCTGAAAGATGCTTTTATCGCAGCCTAGCTGTAAGTCGTAACACAATTTTTACCAACAGCTGTTTTGATAGTGAATGCAGAAAATAGAAGGAGAAAATGATTTAAGTGAAGAAGAAAAAGAAGGAGGAGGAAAAGAATAAAAACCAATACCTGTGTTTACAATTATGAAACAAAACTAGTTAAATACCTAGAACAGAATGGGATCCAGTACTAGAAGAATGGGACAAAAGAAGTTATCTTTTTCAGTTGCAGAGAGAGATTAATGATGCTTCTGGGAGGCAGAGAATCATTAATGATAGCCCTGTGATGCAGAGAGTAATTAGTTTTGCCCCTGATTATAATTAATGATGTCCCCGGGAGGCATTATAATTAATGATGTCCCCGGGAGGCAGAAAGTCATTTGCGATGATGACCCTGGTAGGCGGAATCATTTATGATGGCCCTGTGAGGCAGTGTGATTAATGATGAGGCAGAGAGTGTATAGTGATGCCTCTTGGAGGCAGAGTCATTAGTGATGCCCCTGAATGGCCTAGTCCATTGCATTGGTGACCGTGGGCGATGACGAATCATGACCATTTTTATCAGCATGGCATGTGATGATGCTGATGAGTTCTGGAAACTTACACCACACGTAGGAAGCTGTTATATTGCCAGAGCTCTTAAGAATCTCCAGCAAAACGTTAGATAAAAATAAGAATAAAATTACAGGCATGCTTTGTGCATGCCTCACTTCGAAGGACACGGGTGAGGATTATTGTCTAGATTTTTTCACCAGGGCATACCGGTGTGTTGGGAAATAAACAGGCGAACAGACTGGCTGGCTCTGCACAGCTTGGTGGAATACTAATGCATGATAAGGCAGACGTGGTTAGTGCCTTGTGAGAGAGCTTGTACAGTTCGGAGGAGCAGATTGATCACTACAGTGTGGTGAGATTGATGCTGTTGGGAGTGACAAGAGGTTCTGGCAGATGCTCGAGGCTCAGAGGAAAGGCAAGATGGACGTTTAATCAGAATGCTGCTGGTACCATTAGGATTGGAACTCTTCGCTGGCTGCTGAAGATGGGGACGAAGTGCTTATAGGAATGCCCTGAGTGCTGTGATGTCGGTTCTTGAATCAAATCAAATCAAATATAAAATGTGTATAACATGTATTTTTGTATATTTAGATATAATACTATAATGGACTTGTGTCAATATACTGTAAATTTGAGCACACAAGTCAAATTGATGTACAAGTCAGCTTCAAGATTATTAGTTCAAAATTCTCAGTTAAGCCTATAAATACCTGCCATGTAAGTTGGCCTCTAGTTTTGAAAATACTTTTGAAGACTTGAAAACCTGATTTATACACCACAGTTTACAGTACATATTTGTATTTGTCATTGACAAATGAGGTCCTTCTGTAAATTTAGAGCAAAAGATCAGATAAGACTAACTTCTACACCTTATTCTTGAGTTGGATAGAAGTGTCAGCACAAAAGAAGAGCCTCCATTGTTGTCAACTATTATTGACGTATATAAGCACAATAATACAATGGCCTATCCATTCTTAATCAGTCACTTATCTCTTTAATTCCAAGGTTTTCTTTGTCTTCCTCTTCTCCAATTTCCTTTTAACTGCTTATTGAAAGGGTAGATTTTCTGAAAGGATCCATACATGTTGACCTGACCCTGCAGACAAGATAGCAAATACCACTGTGGATAGAAATTATTAGTCTCAAACTGTGTATACAGTTACTTCAAAGTTGTTCTTCTTGGGCTGTTACGTGGTTACTTTAAAATTGGTTACTTTAAAATTGTTTTCTTTGGTCTGTGTACTTGGTTGCTTTAAAACTGTTTTTCCTTGGTATGTGTACATGGTTACTTTAAAACTGTTTTACCTTGATCTGTATACATGGTTACTTTAAAATTGTTTTTCCTTGGTTTGTGTACATGTTTAATTCAAAATGGTTCTTCTTGGTCTGTGTACATGTTTGCTTTAAAATTATTTTTCCTTGGTCTGTGTACTTGGTTACTTCAAAGTGGTTTTTCTTTGTCTGTGTAGATGGTTACTGTAAAATTGTTTTCCTTGGTCTGTTATGTTATCCCAATTGAAATCACTGATTATTGACATTCCCTTGTGTGCTCTGTCCTCTGATGCAGCAGCCACTGCAATGTATTTTGCTAATTGTTCTCATTAGAAGCTGGGGCGCTCCTTTGATTCATTCCCCAAAATGGCGGCATGCCACATTCTGGCCATAAAATATCCAAAAATATCCGAACGACGGTGTTCGCATATATCTAAAATACGGACTGTCTGCCAAGGAACAAATCGCGGCAAAACTAGGATTACTTGACAAAAAACATTTGCACACGGTACTGGTAGCAGACGATAAATACCGACCGTTGACAACAATTTCTGCAGACGATACTAGCAGACGATATTAGCGACCGTTGACCAATTTCGAGACATTACAGACGATGAAAGCCGATTAGCAATACTGTGTTCTTCCGATTGGAGGATTTAGCAGCGGTAGATGTCAAACTTGTTGGCATGAGCCAAACGCGATTAAACTCGAGCGTATTACCCGCGCCGCTATGCGCGCCGCGGATGGGGGCTAAACTAGGTGCCTGGGACTCACAAGTACAGTAATTGAGGAAGTTGCAGGAGATGTGGTAGCTGCCGCTCGTAAGTCCCAGCCATCTAGTTAAGCCCCCATCGGCGCCGCTACGTGCGGCGCGGGGGATACGCTCGGCGGTGAGGCACACTTGCAGAAGCAGGTCGGCAAGCAACGTATCGCCGAGACCCTGTCAGAGCATTTGTTTCGTTATCCGGAGCCGGCACATATATTTTCAATGAACTGACCCGCGTTCTGATATTTTTGTATATTTTAATGGCCAGAAATTGGCCAATTTAGCTCTCTTTCGAATGCCATCATATTAAAGCTGCCATTTTGGGAAACGATTCAAAGAAGAGCCGAAGTTTGTTATGTTGTCTTCTGTCTCGACCTCAAAGATGGCATAGACATGCTTCACCATGCTTTACTTCCATGTCATGCAATCATGTTAGTGTCAGGGATTCCTCATTATCCACCAGTCCATAGAACGTTGACGATATATTCTCTGTCCATGCTTCTTTCCACATGCATTGATGCATTGCTTGCCAGTTGGTCCGCTCGCTCCTTGGTCTGTGTACATGGTTACTTTAAAACTGTTTTTCCTAAGTCTGTGTACATGATTACTTTATAGTGGTCTTTCTTAATATTTTTATCATAGTTACTGTAACATATTTTTCTTAGTTGGTCTGAATACATGATTTAAAGGGGTTTTTCTTGATCTGGGTATATAGTAACTTAAAAGTAGTTTTTCTTTTATATGTGTAGATGGTTACTTTTTAATGGTTCTTCTTTATGTGTGTACATGGTTGTTTAGAAAGTTTTTTGGGGGGGAGGGGGGGGGGGGTCTGTGTCCATGATTACTTTAAAATGGTTGTTCTTGGGCTGTGTACATAAGTAAAAAAGTAAAGAAAAAGAACCTTTTCCACGCCTTTAGGCATATAGGGCTAGACCTATATTTGTATTGACCAACGGCACAAGATGGGTGATGTGGTCAGCATCACGCTGGCCGCCTCTACTTTCCAGGACTGCACCCGGTACCCACTCAAGGCTGGGTCGACCTGGGAACCAAGGTCATTTTTGAAGAAAAGTCCGGCTCCGCCAGGGAGCAAACCCACAACCTTCTGATCCGCGGCGCGCATCTAGCCGCTCCGCCACGGCGACTCCAGGGCTGTGTACATATTACCTTGAAAGTGGTTCTTCTTGGTCTTTGTGCATGGTTACTTTAAAGTGGCTCTTCTTTATGTAGCTACCTTAAAATGGTTTGTTTTTGAACCCCTGGTTACTTTCTCTGTAACATAATAATTCTCGCATATTTTTTTTATTGAGATTCTAGGTGTGATTCTAAAGGTGTGAATGAAGACTAAAGGGACTGCCACCAGTGTTGTGGCATCCATGCACAAAGTTGAGATTCCCCCCATCCAGATCCATAGGTGTAACACTAATAAAGATTCCCATTTACAGTGAACATGTATTCAACCCTGACCATTTATCATTTCAGTATCGGGGTTCAAATCTGATGTCACAGTTCCTGTTGATGACAATGAAGAAACTTTGGCTAGATCAGACTCCTATGAAAACTTCAACAGAGCTTTGGAGGCTGTAGATGGTAAGTGAAAACAACAAAGCCCTGTTCTGAGAAAACAGGAGCGATTGCAGTGAAACTAATATCAAGAAATTAATATGCTGAATTGTGACTAAGAAGCTTTAAAACAAAAAAGAGAAAGGGGGGGGGGGGGGAAACATACGCACACAAGAAAATAACATGTTTTGGTCAGAGCTTTTCTTGAAACAAGCCATAACAGCAGCAGCAGTAGCAAGGGGCAAAGTACTCTGGCCAGAGTATTTTTTGGCTATATATGGCCAGAGTACTTTGCCCCTTGTTGTTGTGGTTTGTGTTGACAAAGGCTCTGGCTGAAAACTCAAATTTTCCTGTTGTGTGTACAAGTCCTAGGAAGTAAAGTTGGCCGGCATATTGCTAACCATATTATCCACCAAGTGCCGATTGGTCTATAAAATATAGGCCTAGCCTTATATGCCCAATATGCCTAAAGATGAGGAAAAGGAGACTTTACATACACAGAGCTGGCCGCTTGCATATCAGTTTTAAAAAAACACTGTATGGTAGTTATAGGTTATGAAGCTTTCCACTATATAATGTGTATATTTTGAGCAGCAGAAGCTTTTTGAGTGTAATAATGTTGTTGGTAGGATAAGGTTGATGGTTTGAGTTCAGTTTATATTTACAGCAAAGATTAAAGTTAGGTATATTATACTGAGTTAGATTTTTTTGGGGGGTTAGATTCAGGTGTGATTAAAGTTATATTTAAGTAATTTTTATCTTTGTGGTGTGTTTAAATATTGGTTTGGAGTTGGGCTTACAAATAGAGGGAAGTTTATGGTTACAGTGAGGTGTAGAAATATTGTTAGAGTTATCTGTGTGTGGGTTCTAGATCTTCGTTTTGGAGGGGATTTTTGTCAAGCATGTCCTAAAAATCTGACCGATTAAAGGTTTGCTGAAAACAGATGTGTTTAACTGAAAGGCACAGACATCGCAGCCTTGCTAGCAGTATGCCAGCCACCCTTTTAAAAGAAAGTACAGAAGAAGAAGTCAGTGTTAGGTTTATGGTTATGTAATGTTTAGATATAAATTGATGGTTAGATATAGATTAATGGAGGGAGGTTTAAATGTAGGTTTAAGATTAGATACAGGTTCATGATTAGATACAGGTTATGAATAGATATAGATTTGTGTTTAGATATAGGTTTATGGTTTAAATAGGCTTATGGTTAGAGCGAGGTTTAAATGTAGGTGTGCGATTAGATATAGGTTTTGGGTAGTTAGGATTTAGATTGGATTATTGTTAGAGTTAGATTTATGTATTCTAGGTTTATGGCTAGTTTTGTTTAAATACAGATTTATGGTTAGAAATTTGGTTGAGACATCACTTTGTGGTTGTATACATGTTTATTATTAAAGTACGACTTCTGAGTAACGTTCGGCTTACAGATATGGTAGGTTTATTGTTAGTCAGCGTTGCAATAAGAATTAGTTTTATAAGTAGTTTTAGACTAAGAATCAACCCAGCTTAACATTATATTTCATTTATATTTGTGATCAGTTGTTACTACATATATCTGCTTTTTTTTTTTTTTTTTTGCTTTGTTCTTTAAATCTTTTAATGGGGATCTGAAGGAGAAATGTTGTTGCTTGCTCTATAATTTCGCTGAGGTAGTCACAGAGGTGTAACAGCTAGATGCTTTACCCTTAACCCACAAGTCCTGGATTCACAGATTTTTAAATGCAAAAATGACCTTGACTGCCAGATCAGCACAGCCTAATGGCTCCTGTGTAAAGTCCTTAGGAAGTAAAGGTGGCCTTTGGGATGTTGAGCACATCACATATACATGGCCAATATTTCTATAAAAATATGAATCCAGCATCATATGCCTGATGCACCACTATTGTGACAAGGGTCCTGTGCTTACTTTTACTGACTGTTTGATTGCTGTTACAGTGCTTTTAGGCTGTAGTTTTTCTTTTTCTTATCTAATAATGTTGTTACCTGATTGACTTTGTGTGCTGTAACATAGTTAAACTTTGCAGTAATCTTCCCTGTAGAGCATGGAAGTTATATCTCCCAGAGACTCTCTGTCAGTTTCTGTCACTGAGACAGTGTAACATATTTACAGCACATTTTCTAGGGAAAAGGTTCCAACTCTTTTTCAGGTTTTGACCCTCATATTTTCTAGCCTACATCCATACCAGCCGTAAGCCTTCAGTCTGTTTTCACAATATCCCAGGATTCCCAAGCTGAATGAACCGCACCAGGATCGCACAATAAGCAATAAATGTCCAGTGAGCGATAAACGTCCAATGACACAAAATGGCACTATTCAGATGAGAATCATCAAGGTGCGAGTCCCAGAAACACTGTTCGCCTGTTAGCTTATATTAGGACCCCCGACAACAGCCAGATAGAGGCTTTAAAATAATGAAAAATCACGTCCAAAATTAGGACAGCAGTATATCCCGAAGTCTACATCACTAACTTGACTTTAGTTCCTAGTCTAGTTTACTTAAACTTTCTAGAATATTTTCCTAGTTTTCCTAGTTTTTCTAGACTATATCCCAAGTTTCCCATACTTTCTAGAATATATCCCTAGTATCCCTAATATTATGTTACATTTAGACTGTATCCCTGGTATCTCTAGTTTCCCAATTTGTTCTAAAATATTTCCATTGATTTCCCAAATCTCTGTAGACTATATTCTTAGTTTCTCTGTATTTCTATTCTATACTATATCTTTAGTTTCTGCATATTTTCTAGACTATATACCTAATTTTACCATACTTTCTAGGCTCTGTACCTCATTTCAGAATTTCTTCTTGACTTGACCTTTTCCCTTGTTCTCTAATATCTTCTAGCATCTTTTCCTATACCCAGTAAACTGAAACCCTCATTTCAAAATTGCTGATTTCTTCAGACCTTTAGGTCCACACTTTAACTAAGTATTTCCAGTTAGTTAAGAGCTGCTGACTGTTATTTTCAAAGATACTTTACATTAGTCATACTAAAGAACGTATTATAATTATCAAAATTAGAACCACCAAAAGAATTGCATTCCAAAGTTAAGGGTTTTTGTTTTGTTTTGTTTCAATAAATAGTGTCTATCACAGACCTCTTTAATCTGTTCTGCAGACCTACCACTAAGTGAGAAAATCTGACTTATTAAAATTATTACTGACCCAGATAATGGAAAGCAGTTAAGGAAAGGGATGTAACTATGCATTTATTAATTTCCCAAGTACTGACAATGTGGGGCAGAAGTGAAAAATATCTGGCCGTCGTCGGAGCCACATAATGTCTGTGAAATTATTGTGTGGGGCTCTGCCAACGGAATTGCATGCAGGATAAGAAAATTTGAAATTAAATAAATATAAGTACTTTTTATAGCAACAAAAATTTATATTAAGTGATTCAAGGAGAAGTAATAGTATAGCAGCAGTAGTTTCCGCACAGATAATAACCTGTTCAACGTCCAGGGTTATAATTATTATATATGTAATAAACAAACAGACAATGTATTCATCAGCACTCATAGAAAGAAGCAGAAAGATAGAAGGACACACTAGACAACATAAAATTGAAAGCTTTACTTGTCATGCTAAGAATCGAACCTGTCACCTCCAAATTCTGTGTGCACCTCGCTGTGGAAACAAGTATACTAAGAACATGACTAACTATTCACTCCAAATAAATGTGTCTTCATTGGCCATGTCTATTATACAGCTGAAATCCACAGCTATGGAACATGGAGACAATTTATGTCAAACCAATGAAATGGCACCATAGGTTACACAAATTTATATTAACCAAGTGTAGGTCAAATAACCACACTAATCACAGACATATCAGACCGTAAAGCTATGTCTAGAATACAATAAACATGTCAGAAAGAAATTTTATTTGTAGGTTCTATTGTGTTACACATAATTCACATAAATAAACAGAAGGGGAACCCTTAAGGGGGTTGAGAGTTATAATTAGTATTTTAAACAAAAACTTGTGCTTTTTATTTTTTTTATTTTCATGATGATTTCTTTTGGTCATTCATGTCTTCTTCTCATTTATTATGACCAGCTGTAAACTCTGGCAGAAATTTCTTTTTGTTCATCCACTTCTCGACTTTGTTCTTGTTCTAGAATTTGTAAGTTTTGCATGCACATTCCTTTCACAGATATGGTTTATTACTATGCAGACTGTTAGTTTCTTGCCTCTTGGGCAGATGAACTCCAACTTTGAAAAGAAACACCCCTAATTAGCCGCCTCTTATGACATGTATATTCAGGGAGCAGTGGGTCTATTCTTTTTCCCTCCATAGTGGGACTCTGGAATCTACACGTGCAGGGCCGGATTAAGACTTGATAAGGCTCTTAACTGTATAAAGCCTAGAGGCCCCTAGGGTGTTCAGTTACACCAGCTAATTTCAGAAAGATATGTCTTTTAAATATATAAATAATGGACATATACCATTATTAAATTTTTATTGAAAGACATATTTTTGCAAAAATCACATTAATTAAATAATCCTATAAAAGGCTCTAAGTACAGCTTAAAACATTTTTAATCTTGACTTCCCAAATACAGAAAAAATATGGTCATGGATAAAGTCATCAAAAGATATGCTGTCTATCAAATAGGAAATGGTAATTTAAGTCCTTCCAGATTGTGAGGTCCTGAACTGTAGCTTATTTAACTAATGCCTAAATCCAACACTGCATGTAGGGGGAGTGATTCAGGTAATTTACACTGTTATCATTTGAAAGATTATCAACTCCCACCTCTGTTCCAGTCATCACCTTAGATGCAAGTTAATTAAACGTTTGATCAATTATATCTGGGTGATTTTTAGGGAGAAATTTTATTGCTCTGAAGAAAGTTATAAATATCCAAATGACCCATTGACAAATTTATTTTTCAATCCCTGGTTACGGTACCAAAAACCAGTTATCTTAGCATTGTGTGCTTCCCCTTTTTCACTTGTATACCACTGTGCATTTATCTTTTTTGTTTTCTCATTTCTAATGCTTGCTGTAATTGTAGTGCCTAGATCGACCTAACTCACATACATTTTCAGCTTTGGGAGCCAGTGGAAACCGAGTTTCGTCATCGCGAGGGTCAATCAGTGGAACTCACACCTCACAGCAGGTATCTAACGTGGACTACAACAGAGCCCCAGACGGAAGCCTGTATGCTGCAGTCTCTAAGAGAGGGCTCCCACCTGCATCAACTCCAGTACCTCATGCCTCAGTTCATTTCACAAACGGCTCCATCCCCTCTAGTTTAGATTTCGGTCAGTCTCTATAAATTTATAAATTTAATAAGGATATCAGTTTATATAAATATTTAAGCAGATATAAATAAATCATGTTTTGTATGCACTTTGTGAAATAATTTTGCTCAGCTTAGTATTATAACTTTAGATGAATGTTTCTGTATTGAAAACCAGCAATAAAATTAAGGCTTTGCTATAGTGTTTATTTCCCTGACTGATTGATTTAAAGACATTGATTAACTGACACTATTATCTGACTGAGTAATTGACTCCTGATTACTGACTAATAGACTGATAAATCTGACACATTAACTGAATAGCTGGTTGATAAATTGACTGACACATTGGTTGAGTGACTGATTTGCCTAATGAATAATTTGACTCCTGTAAATAAATTCTTCGCTTTCCCTTATTTGTCCCAGTATTTCTCTGGATCACTCCAAAATATAAAAAAAAAAATGTGTTAATCCTTTTTACTTTAACTTATTTGGTTCATGAAGCTACTGCTTTAAATCCTCTTTATCTCCCAAGTAGTTTTGCTTGCGACAGAATAAGTTAAACATTTTTTTTATCTATTCTGATTTCTTTTTAAGCTTCTAATTCACTTATTTCTGTTTTTTAATCGTGTGCTTTTAACTGTCTTTCAACAGCTGTGTATTTTTAAATTGAAAATCAAACTCTTTCAGTCACAGATCATGTCAGAGCCCACTGGCAGAAAAAAAAACCATTATTTAAATTAATGAGTTCATTAATTCCTTTGCCTGGTGGGGGAGCTTGTGTTTCCTAATGACCCTGAGAGCCTTGCCAGTGGTAGCATAGCTAGTAGCAGGGTCTCGTAAGCCAGACAGATCAGAGAATAGACGAGAGACAATCAGGTCCTCCAAGTTGTGGGTGGCGGGGGGTGTTAGTGTAGAGCTGACACCTCCACCTTTGTAAAAACCTCATTTTATGAGGAAACATATATCTAAGCCTCAGATTCAGATAAATTTAAATTAAAAGTGTTAAATGAGGCTAGATCATTATGCAGACCAAGAAGAAGGAAAAGATGGAGGAGGAGGATGAAGAAGAAAAAGAAAAAAGACGGACTAGGCAGAAGAAGAAGAAAGAGGAGATGGAAGAAGAAAAAGAATGAGGAGGAAGAAAACAAGAATTCCAAAGGGACTACATACACAGTGGGAGTGATAGCATGGGGAAGCAATATTTTTTTAAAGTATAATCTAACCAATGGATGAAGTACAAGAGCACACAGTATGTGATGGCTGAGACTGAAACATTATTTCCAATAGTATTTTAAGAGAAAATTACATTTAGTGCTTTAAGAGTTAATTAAATTTTATTGATGTATCTGTTTGACCTGGTTATTTGTTTTTTTCTCTAGGCTTTTGCTTGTACCTGTTTTTTAATCTTTCTATTAAGTGGCTACTGTAGATGCTTCTCTTTAATTTTATTTAATCACTTCCTTATATCTGAAAACAATGTGGGTGTTTAGACATGCAGATCCCTGTGTTTTAGTTACAGAGCCCCATTGAAGGTGGGGGTGGAAAGTGTGATTAATAGACCCCCCCCCTCCCCCCACTCTACCAAACACACATTTTATAAAATGTGACTAATTTGGGGTTTATTGAAATCAGATATGTTGTACTGAAGGGCAAGTATTGCATCCTAGCTGTAAACCGTGACACAACATGCCAGCTGCACTTTTTAAAAGCAGAAGAAGAAGAAGCTTTATATGACCTACTTATTTGACATAATAGCTAAATATTCAGAGTTTGTTGTTAAGTTTTAATTTTTGTTCACTTCTACAGGTTACCTAGAGCCATTTGCATTTTCATATTACTATAAGATTTACTGTGGATTTATAAAAACACTGGTTTTTCCACACAGTTTGAGAAATGAAATCTAATAAAATTACCCTTTGATATTATGTGCTTCAAAGCACACAGCCTTTCCTTTTTGGGGTCATGACAAGTAAATTTATGCTTGAACAAGACAGGTATGTCAGGAATGTCAAGTTCCCAAACACAAAACGTGTGTTGTCTTCTTGTTGCTCTTCTTTTGTGGTTACTTGAATATGAAGTAAGTTGCAATGTTTGTTGCTCTTCTCCATTGTTTACCTATTTCTGAAGTAAATTACAGTGTAAATTTTTAGTAGCTTCTATAAAACTATGTTATCTAGCCCCTTGTTCTCCTACAATAACTACCTAATTTTGAAGTAATTTACATTGTTTGTTTTTAAAAGATTGAAAAGAACCGGTTTCATTAACTTCTTGATGCTTTTATCTAATGTTTACCTAGTTCTGAAACAAGATTACGTTGTTTGTGGTTTGTGTGAAAACTGGTTTCCTGAACTTCTTGTTCTTCAACAGTGTTTACATAATTCTTAAGCAGTTTACATAGTTTGTGTAGAACTACTGGTTATATAAAGATCTTTTTGTTCTTCTCTGATAGTTACCTAATTCTGAAATAGTTTGCATTGTTTGTTGTTTGTAGCTTCTGTAGAACTGGTTTTATAAACTAACATTGTCCCAGATGTAGTGTTCGCTTGGAGATTTTTGATTGTATTCTGTAAGTGCTGATTTAGTCAGTCAAAAATAAATTTAAAACATGGACAGTTTGTGGCAAATGTGCTAGCCATGTGTCCATAAATCCTATGGGTAATTAATTTGACCATTAGCCCTGCAATGCCTTAAAATTAAAAAATTAAAAGATTTTTTTAGGATCGTGAATTGAGATTACACCTGTGAAATTACCATTTAACCATGCATTTAAAAAAATGTTGGATAATTTAACCATATTTTTTTGTAAATTAACAATGTTTGGTAATATAGACATGTTTTTAGTAATTTAACCATAAAATAGATTATTTAAGAATATTTTCATTACCCAGAACTATGATATTTTGTTGTTACAGGCTATGCTGGACAGAACAACAACTACAACTCTCACTACACTTCCTCTGCTGTGAGCAGTAACAATATTAATAATAATATCAGTATTGACACTGTCAGCCCGACCTACTCCTCCCACGTCTACCAACAAAACCAAAGCAACGCGAACGTCAGAAGACCTGTCCAGACCCTTGAAGAACGCACACAGCTGGACGAGTTGCTAAGCGACCTGCTCAGTGATCAGGCTTATGTATCTCCGACCCATCGCTCACCACGGTCATTCCAATCAGCTGCCCAGTCCCAACAGTCATCAGTCTCGCCCAGTGGTACCAGCAGTAACATCGCACCAGCCATGAGCAGTGCAAAAACGTACAGCACCACTAATCGCACCTTTGCGACATATTCCAGCGCAGACGCACTCCGCAACCCAGACAAGTTGTTGATTCAACATGCAGAAGTCTCCTACAAAGTCCCAGGGCAAGGAGAGGTCAAGGACCATTACACAATAGCAGCAGATCCCACAGATCTCCTGGACACATCCTCAGTGAGACCCACTCAGTCTCACCATCCTAAAGGAGTGCCGACAAATGCATTTTCTTACACATCTGGAATTTCTAGTTCCCAGCAAACTAGTTCACAGGTAAATACTCAGTTATCATACTTGTTTATTCTTTTCACTCACTTTATAAGTTTGAACCTGGCTTCCTGATGTGAGAAAAAGCTTTTAAAAGTTTCTCCTCCTCTGGAAGTGCAACCTGAAAGATTAATACGAGACCCACTGACTTCCTAAGATGCATGACGTGAAGGTCAACTAATTAGGGACGTTTCCTTTAAAGTTGGAGCGAATCTGCCTGAGAGGCAGTAGTCTTGCTCCAGAACTGAAATTCTGCATGCATCTATTTTGCCGATCTTGCTTGTTTGTATGCAGACTATTGGTTCCTTGACTATCAGGCAGATGCACTCCAACTTTTAAGCAAACACCCCTGATTCGTAAACTTATACGATATGCTTGTTAGTGGAGCAGTTTGTCTGTTTTCACCCCCCAACTTGTGCCCCAGATCCCACTTGGGGATTTGATTGATTGTTCATTGTTCATTAAAAGATTATCCTCATAGCACATCAAACATGACCATAAATGCAACGATCTTCTCTTGAGTATGTCTCTGAGTGTTTTTAGGCAAACAACTCTTATTCTGTTCTGGTTAATGTAATGAAGGGCAGCTCCTGCATGGTTTTTTGTCTCGCTGCTCCAATTGGTACACCCAGGGTATGCAGTCCATTCAGTTCCAAAATGATTTTCCACAAAACTGAAAGCCTCACAGCGTTTAGTCTCTCGTATGGCATTGATGATATCTCTCTCCTGTCCATAGATGGCCCATTCCTGATAGTCGCACTGCCACCCAGGATGTCTGCTCTCTCATTGCCTTTCACACCAACATTCCCTGGGACAAAAATTGTGATTTTGAGAAACGCTGCATGCTATATCAGATTGAGCCACTTCCGTATATGCCCTGCCTTGATCTGCTGTAGCCTGCTCATTGGGGCACTGAGAAATCATGCAGGGGTGAATTCCTGACTTTGTGGTCATTCTAAAGCCTTTGTCACAGCCATGACCTACATTGTCATGCTGCTAATGGTAAGAAGCAAAGGCTCCACTATCTTCTTTGATGACTTTTCTTTTACTTCTTACTGTGAAAGAATGTGCACTTTACTTCTGAGGAATCACATAACTATTTTTATGTATAACAGCATCTTCCGGTGATATGTGTTCCTACATCAATACTTTCACTTCTGCATCAACTATTGGTGGTGCCAAATCATGGCATTGTCTTGTCAGAGGATTTGATTGAAAGACTAATTAGTTTACTGAAAATTTACCTGATTGTATCAGTGATTGATTAAATCATTTTTGCCGTATTTTTTTTTCAGAGAGCAGAAGTTGTGGAGCATGAAATCATCAGAAGCCAGTCAACTCGTGGCCTCCAGTCCCCTCCCTCCCATTCTTCCTACCGCCCTCCTGAGTATGAACCTAAGTTTGAGTCCTCCCCATCCTCATACCAATACTCCTCCCTGGATGAAGACACCAACTCCTGGCTGGCGCAGCAGCAGCAGAAGTTGAAGAACACCAAGGAGGGTCGGGATTCAACAGGACGCACGGAGCAGGAGAAAAAGCTTGTCAATGAGTTGAGATATGCCCAGAATAAGTACTACACTCGTCATGATCAGGCAGAAGAGGAAGAAAGGGTGAGTAATTCTTTGAGGTTATCTTGTCTTTCTTTCTTATTATCTTTAACTTTTCAGTACCAGCGAGATATTATTTTTAACTGTCTTTTTCTTCTCCTAGTTCTCCTCCTCCTTCTTCTTCTTCTTATTCTTCGTTCTTTCTTCTGTCATCTTCTCTATCTTCTTCTTCTTCAGATACTTCTTCTGAGCTCACCTGCAAAAGGGCAGTTTGCATTTTGAGTTGTAGTTTACAGCTAGACTGTCATATGTGCATCGTTCAGCTCAGCCCATCTGATTTCAGTCAGTCCTTAATTAGTTGCATTTTATGACATGCTTGATAAGGATCAATGGGTCTGTTTTTCACACACACTCCCCCCCCCCCCCCCCCCCCCCCCCCCCCTTAAAAATTAGCCCCCTGGAACTGACAGGAGTTCTTGATGTTGACAATTTTAACTTTTATATTTCTTGTATATTGATATTTTCACCAGTTTAAATTGTGTTAAATATTGACAGTAACTGTTAGATTGTATTTGTATATTGATGGCAGCTGATAAATTTCAGTGTTTATAATTAGTTGGTTAGTTGGGTTATCATCATTGCACTCCGGAAATGTCCATAGGTGCTCAGATCCTCCCTTCAGAATGAACCCCAACGTCCGATGGTTATTAGTACCAGTTCTATGTTGATTAACAAGTCTTCTGGCGTGTCTGGTGTGCGTCTCGTTTTTTTCTATGCCGATCTTAATTCCCAAGTCTGCCATTCTGGCGAGTGATGTGGATTCACTGCCACCAAAGTCCTCTATCCTTCCCATTTCTCTTCTTTCTTTTTTTTAACGTATCCAGAAACCATGAGTTGTAAACCCTTTGGCTCGGTACTATGGATATCGCAACCCTTCGGCCTTGATTCCATTATAGTACCGTTAATCTGGGAGAAATGTGGCTTTTCTGCCTACCCCTGGGAATGAACCCGGACCACAAGGAGTTCGTCACCCGGCTGCTGCGAAAGTCAGGTTTAACCAACTTCGCTAGAGAGCCGGGCGCCCATTTCTCTAAGGGCATTAATAATATCAGCATGATCCATAGGCTGACCGTCGGTAGTCATAGCGGATCCAGCCAACCTGTCAGCTGTTTATAATGGTCTTCTTAACTAACAAGTTATGTTTTGACTCACAGATCATAAGTTGAACTATGAACTGTATTTTTCAACACATTTTTATTCAAACAGGTTTTACAATTGTACTTAAAAACTCAATCTGTATGTATATAATTAAACCATGCTGTGCACTAGGCTTCAATTCTAAGAATGTTTGACCTTATCAGTATGATTATCTTTCTTTGTTTACTTTTGTATTTACTTTTTGTTTGTGGTCGTAATTGTGGATAATAGTAATAACATGAAAAGATATAAAACCAAACAAATTGAAGACCAGCAAACTTCACAGTGTAACAAACACAATCAGAAAGTGAATGTTGTGGCTACAGAGCCTTCATCAGCGCATTACATAAATCAACAAAACCACATGTACAGACATGGATACACAAAAATTACTTAACTGACATTTTCCAGATAGCAGCCATTGTGTGGTATGGCCTCAGAATGAAAGATCTGTATAGCTGTCAGCAATAAATAGCCTGTCAGTGCTAAGGGCCGTTACTCAAGGTTATGAGGTGAAACTGTGTTGACAGTTACATCCCCAAGATGTATTTGCACCATGGGTAAAAATAAAGCAATTTTCAAGAGACTTGCAGACTTTGTCACTGTAGTGACTGGATTTAATGGCCGTCACCTCTATTTCATGAACACCTCAGTTATTCTGAGAACTAAGGTGGTAATTTGCATAGGTCATAAGTCGAGTATAACATATATTGATCGTTTAAACTCAGCCTCTTATTCAGTGTACATTGACATTCCCATTTTTTCTATTTCAGGTGCTCATGGACTCCCATGGCAGACAAACTTTACACAATGGGCCGACTTCACCAGAAAGGGTCACATCCTCATACATCATACCACAGAGGTCACAGAGCAGCACCACTGTTGATGGTGTCTGGCCGCAGGACCAGTTCTACAACACATCCTACAGCACATCCTCCTACACGGAGTCCCGCAGCTATGGGGACAAGCGATCCAACAAACCACCACCTTCACCGACAATGCAGAGATCGCAGCAGCCGACAATCTCCGCCGCCCCCATGCCAGTTCCGGCTCGCACCAGCAGCAAAGATTACATGCGCACTCGTTCCAGCAGCGGTGGTTCCAGCTGGCAACAACAGCAACCTCCTTTGCCACAGCAACGAACACTGCAGCGCCAACAGAGCGATACTTTGTATGACAGAAATCGGGATGTGGAGCACATACAACCAAGGAGTTATGGTTCGACACACAGCACACCACCTCATTCGCCTCGAGCAATTTCACCATCAGTAAGTTTTTGCTTTGATATTCTTGCTAGACTTGTTGTTTTTCCATTTCTTATGCTTCATGTTCACCCCAAGTGGAAAATCCTGGCTGTTCATCCACCTCTCTACTTTAGCCTTGTTTCAGAAATCTGAGTATTGTGTGCACATCCATTTTACAGATCTGACTTATGTGTATGTAGATTGTTGGTTCCTGGCCTCTCAGACAGATGACTTTGACAGAACCCCCAATTATTAGTTGACTCCTACAGCTTGCTTATTGGGGAGACAGTGGATATATTCTTGTTTTGCCCACATTTGGGATCCTGAAATCCACACAGGGAATTGTTTTTGTTTTCAGGATGAACAAATATACCTTTTTTACTGCCTGTATTTACAGCATTAATAATGTGGCCAATAAAGTTTTGGCCAAATGGCACTAATTTTGAAATGCAAGCGTGTGAATATGAACTCTAAAGAACATGTTCTTACCAACACTATGTTTTCAGTGTCAAGCACGGACACTGTCTTCCAAAGAAAGAATTTAAAAAGTCACGACATCAATGAAATGTTTACCTACTATGTTTGGTGTAGTGAGGATTGATCGAGTTAGGAATGATATCAGGAAGAGAGTTGACACAGAACCAGTATTTAGAAGTATGAGACCTTAATGCCTTTACGTACCTTCTTCAAGTGTGAGACCTTGATTGCCTTTACATACCTTCTTCAAGTATGAGACCTTGATTGCCTTTACATATCTTCTTCAGGTGTGAGACCTTGATTGCCTTTACATATCTTCTTCAGGAATGAGACCTTGATTGTCTTTACGTACCTTTTTCAAGTATGAGACCTTGATTGCCTTTACGTACCTTCTTCAAGTATGAGACCTTGATTGCCTTTACATACCTTCTTCAATTATGAGACTTTGATTGCCTTTACCTACCTTCTTCAAGTATGAGACCTTCATTGCCTTTACGTACCTTCTTCAAGTATGAGACCTTGATTGCCTTTGCATACCTTCTTCAAGTATGAGACCTTGATTGCCTTTACATACCTTCTTTAAGTATGAGACCTTGATTGCCTTTACGTACCTTCTTCAAGTATAAGACCTTGATTGCCTTTGCATACCTTCTTTAAGTATGAGACCTTGATTGCCTTCATGTACCTTCTTCAAGTTTGAGACCTTGATTGCCTTTACATACCTTCTTCAAGTATGGGATTTTGATTGCCTTTACGTACCTTCTTCAATTATGAGACTTTGATTGCCTTTACGTACCTTCTTCAAGTATGAGACCTTGATTGCCTTTACATACCTTCTTCAAGTATGAGACCTTGATTGCCTTTACATACCTTCTTCAAGTATGAGACCTTGATTGCCTTTACATACCTTTTCAGGTGTGAGACCTTGATTGCCTTTACATACCTTCTTCAAGTATGAGACCTTGAATGCCTTTACAAACCTTCATCAAGATTGAGACCATGATTGCCTTTACATACCTTCTTCAGGTGTGAGACCTTGATTGCCTTTACGTACCTTCTTCAAGTATGAGACATTGATTGCCTTTACGTACCTTCTTCAAGTATGAGACATTGATTGCCTTTACATACACTTCAGTAGTTTTAGAGGACTTACATCCCCCTTTGGTTTCAGGGCCCCATTTTTTTAAGGAAAAACAAGAATAGAATAAGCCCATTTTTAACAAGTGTATCATAAAAAGTGACCAATTTGAGGTTTGCTGGAATCAGATGTGTTATGCTGGAATCAGATATGTTGTGCTGGAATCAGATGTGTTGTGCTGGAATCAGATGTGTTGTGCTGGAATCAGATGTGTTGTGCTGGAATCAAATGTGTTTTGCTGGAATCAGATGTGTTTTGCTGGAATCAGATGTGTTGTGCTGGAATCAGATGTGTTGTGCTGGAATCATATGTGTTGTGCTAGAATCAGATGTGTTGTGCTGGAATCAGATGTGTTGTGCTAGAATCAGATGTGTTGTGCTGGAATCAGATGTGTTGTGCTGGAATCAGATGTGTTGTGCTGGAATCAAATGTGTTGTGCTGGAATCAGATGTTTTGTGCTAGAATCAGATGTGTTGTGCTGGAATCAGATGTGTTGTGCTGGAATCAGATATTTTGTGCTGAAAGGTGAGTATTCTGCAGGTATGGCTGTAAACCACAGTACAACATGTCAAGCATCCTTTTTAAACTCTTTCAGTCACAATAAGACATTAAATTTATGTTTTCTATCACAGACTGCTGTCCTTAAAAGCAGTTGATACTTAGGTCTGACGGATTCAATATAGACACTTTGAGACAGAAGTAGTCGGACATTTAAGTTGTATACAAAGAGTTAAATATAGTACCTGTCTGAGCTAGAGACAGCAAGAAAATTTGTCTATCATTTTATCATGCATTTATTCTGAAACATATAGGCAAACATATATAGGCAATGAAATGGTTATGGCTGAATGCAGAAGAAGAAGGTACTCAAGTTATGACAAAATCAATCTCATTCTTCTTCTGTGTTTATCTGAAGATATATTTTCATTTTGCCCGTTTGCAGCATGATTGCGATATTGGCACTTTTTGGCTGACACCTCCAACTTCTGCAGGGATTTATCTCATTGTTATGTGATCATCTTTGTTTCCTTGGTCACAGATGGTACCCCACATTAGGCTGGTCCAGAGAAGCCATGTAATGCTCGTCAGTTTTCAGGAGATAGCAAGAGCAGAACATGAGCATTTCCCACCATCCAAGGAGGCCTCCATAGATGCAGAGCCAAAACCTAGTGCTCTGGTACTGGACTCATCAAGGGAATCATCACGTCAGCCTCATTGAAAACTGATTTGTCTTCTGTAATAATTTCCCATAATGCTTTTATATACTTGAAAGACATAAGACATTGTTTATTTTTTTTCTAGGGTGCTCACAGCACAACCACGTACACAACCTATCGGACAATAGACAGACAGAGGGATGCACAGGAAGAAATGTTGAGAGCTAAGAAGGCCCCACAACAGCAACAGGCCCCACAACAGCAACAGGCTCCACCTCCACAACAACCACCCACCCAGATCAACCATCATTACATCACGGAGGTCTTTGTCCATAGAACTGGTGAGTGTGTGAGCTTTGTAGGAAGAAGATGTAGCATTAACACATAAAGGACTCTTTTCCATGCCTTCAGGTGTATTTGGCAAATAGGGCTTGACCAGTGTTTTATAGACCAGTTGGCACTTGGTAGGTGGTAATATGGTCAACATCATGCCGGCCACCTTGACTTCCCATGATTTTACCTGGTACCCATTTAAGGTTGTCTCGACCTGAGAGCCACGGTCATTTTATTTGTCAAAGTCTGGTTCCATTCAGATCTGAACTCATGATCTAAGATCTGTAGGTGAGCTTCTAGCAACTACACCATGGTGACGCACACGTCAGACATATGTTGTTTGTTGTTTGCGTTCACCTGCTATAAACTCCAGTGGAAAAACCTGGCTGTTCTTCCATTTCTGGACTTTGGCTTTGTTCCAGGACCTGAGTTTTGCGTGTGCATCTGTTTTACAGATCTGACTTATCTGTATGCAGATTGCTGGTTCCTTGCCTCTCAGGCAGATGCACTCTGACTTTAAAGGAAGCCCCTAGTTAGTCGACTCTTACCACATGTTTCTTGGGTAGGCAGTGGGTCTATTCTTGTTTTACCCACAATAGCGCCTCAGAACCCACACAGGTTACATCAGACATATGATGCTCTTACTTTTATAGACCAGCGGGCACTCACTGGGGAAAGTGGTCAGTCTCAGCCGGCCTTCTTTACTATCAATCTAGTACATTACCTGGTACCAAATTTAGACTGGATCGACCTTAAAGCCAGAGTCAATTTTATAAACAGTTCTTGGATTTGGATTTAAACCTATGACCTTTAGGTTAGCAGGCTGGCATCTAGTCACTATAGTACTGTGGCTCCTGGGAATGTTGTAAGGTGGTGTAACTTTGAAAATGTGACATGACATATTTGGGAAGAAGCAAGAGGAGGCAAAGAGAAATACATTTGACCATATAACATAATTATGGCAAGAACATAGAGCTGATCCAAGACGCATGATCTTTTTATGTAGCAAACCATGATCTGCTATCCTTTCCTTGTTTGTTTCTTGGTATTTTTCAGTAACATTACATCCAAGTCTTTCCATACATTTAAAAACTACAAGAAATTAGGAGGAAAAAAGACAGACCCATTATTATAAGACATGCTATATTGCATCATTTAATCATCATTGATACATAAGATATGCTGTAGTACATCATTTAAACTTCATCATCATCATCAGGTTGTGCCATTTTATATCAGATATGGCTCTCAGTTTATTCTTCCATCCCATTCTGTCCTGAGCATTTGTTTCAATATTCTGTTTGGAATACAGTCCAGCAGCTTTGGCCTCTCTCATCAACGATTATCTAGGGCAGGGCTATTCAGCTTGTGGCCCTTGGGCAAGATTTGGCCCGCAGAGGCCTGGCACATGGCCCTTGAACCATTGCCAGTTGTATTCTGTTTTCTTTTCATGTTGGCTGCTTGGACCTCTGGCCTGAGACAATCCTCATTTAAAATATTTTGCCCCTGAGTAAATTTAATGGAATAGCCCTGGTCTAGGGTTTCTTTTCAATGTCCTCGGTGTATTTGTTTCTATTTACTTGCCTGTTTGGTTATTCATTATAATTAGCAGGTCTTGATAGTCACACTCACCATCGCCATGGGCTGTCAGTCCTTGTGTATTCCTTACTTCCTCATTTAAAGACTACTTTTTAATCCAGAAGTAACTTGCAAGACAGTTAGTTGTATATTTCTGACATTTTCATTTCAAGAGATCTGACATTTATTCTAGAAACAAAATGCTGCTTCACTAGTTGTGTACTCTTTAATCCTGCATTTGACAAGGCAAATCTTAATACAATTTGTATTTTAGACACAAAAATCTGACATACTAGTTGTATATTGCTTGAGCCTTCTGGTGTTGGCAGATCTGAACAAGGACAAGACAGACTCCTCGACCCGACTGGATGAACTGGAGAAAAATCTGGAAGCAGCTTCGCAATCTATTAAATCTCAGCAGCATGTTGTGAGGCAGGTGCCCCAACAGCAAGTGCCCCAACAGCAGGTCTTTGAGGAGTCCTTACAGGCGCATTCATCTCGGCAGTACCAGTCGTATCAGGAAACTGTGAGTACAGTGTGTGTTGTCATTGGACTGTATATGGGAATGTCAGGAATAAATGGTACTGTGGAATCACAGATCGATGTTTTGTCTTTGAGCTGTTTAGATGTGTTGAATGTTGAATAAAGAATTTACATCACAGCACTTGGGACACTCCCATAAGCACCCTGGCCTTATCTTCAGTAGCAAGCGGAGAGTTTAAATTCTGAGGGCACCAGTAACTGTCTGATTGTTTATCCATCTTGCCTCTTCCTGTAGTGTTGAGCGTCGGGTAGATCCCCTGGTAACTCCTCGGACTGCAGTGATCTGTTTCTACCTCTGCACTGTTCACTCTCTACCAAAGGACCCTTTCAACATTAACATTAGCTTGCGTACATCAGTTCACCACGAAGTGGTGCAGAACTAGCCAGTCTATCTGCATGTTCATTTCCCAACATCATCTGGAGAAAATATCCAAAGGACGCTAACTACCATATGAGCTGTGCAGATAAATTTCAGGAATAACTATATGCATGTGTTGTCCTTGGATTCACACAGCACTAATTCCAAATCTCCAGTGATGATTTGAAGAGATTACAGTAAAAACTGAACTCATCAGCTGAAGGACAGTTTGTGGAATAAACCTACAACCTTCAGAGTGCGAGGATTAACCACTGCGACCATAACACACCCCCCCCCCCCCCGCCCCCCTTCCCCCACCACCCCACCACATCCTCAAGAATAAGGTGAATAAATGTAAGGTGATTGCATGAAAATGATTAAATGTTAGATGAGTAAGTGTCAGGTGTTTAAATGTAAAGTAAGGAAATATAAATGTGAATAACTGTAAGGTGGGTAAATGTAACATTATTGAATGAAATGTAAGCAAATGTAAGGTGATTAAGTATATTGTAAGTAAATGTGAAGTGATTAAATATACAGTAAGTAAATGTGAAGTGAGTAAATGTAAAGGGATTAAATGTAGTATGTGTTAATGTAAAGTGAGTCAGTGTAGAATAAATGAATGTAAAGAGATTAAATGTAAGGTGAGTAAATGTAAAATGAGTAAACATAAGTTGAGTAAATGTTATGTGAGTAAATGTAAAGTGAATAAGTTAAAGTGAATAAGTGTAAAATGAGTAAATGTAAAGTAAATAAGTATAAAGTGAGTAAATTTAAAGACATAATAGAAAGTTGAGAAAATATAAGGTAAGAGTAAAGATAAGAGGAGTAACCTTTTGCTGGGGTAACCTGCTGGTTTCTAGTGAATCCGCGCATGGATGCTGTACACCAGTCTAATCCTGTTATGTGAACATTGGCGACTTTTTTTGGCGACTTTTTTTTCACTAGAGAGTATAATGCCTGTAGATTATTTATAATAAATGGAATGGATCAAAGAAAGAGATAAGAGAAATGTCTGGACAACCACTTCTTTCAATAGTTATTGGGAGAAAAAAGAAGAAGAAGAAGAAGAAGATAGCAAAGAATTAGGCACATCACAGAGAGAGGCTAAGAGACTATAAATGGGAAAGAGATTGGTGACACAGGGACGTCTTAGAGAAACCCTAAAACAAAGGCCTATGTTTTTGAGAGACACCAAAGGTGCTGGGCTAGATTATGTCCATTATATTGAAAGAATTGCACATGTTAGAGCAGAATGGAGGAACAGACTGGTAGCCCTATGTGACGTATAACGACACCACAATGGTGGTGCTGTTGAGGACGGTGATGATGAAAGCTTATCTATAGAAAATGCTACCAATAGAACGAGCTTTAGCGGGGACTACAGTATTTCTTATCTGTGTAGAACGCGTAAGGAGGTCGGGGACTGGCTTCAGGAAACCGACTAGGTATTATAACTGCAATTTATTTTCCTAGGGGTAATGTGTGTCAGAAAATGGCATGGAAGGTCTAAGGTTGTTAGGGGAAACCTGGACGGGGCAACCCACCTGTAGATAAAAAGCTTTTGTGCTTTGCGTCTTCATGTGTGGCAGCGTGTGTGTGTGCAGCACGTTTTAATGTTGGGGTTTTCAAACAGACGTCCTTACACAGTTTAGGACTGCAGGTGTACACCTGGCTGATGTAGCCAGTGTTGCCACTTTTCTTTGACAAAAAACATCCAAAACGGAGTCAACAAATATCTAAAAATATCTAAATTTGCGTGGAAAACATCTAGAAAAAACACCCAAATCGAAAGAGTCACAAATTACATAGCAATTGATATGACTTACTCTATAGAATCATGTCCTCGTTCTTACTGAAGACTGTCTTACAAGATCCACAGGATAAACTTAGCTTGGATGATAAAGTTGAAGCTTCAGATCTAAAATGACTGTGGTATGCTTTAGCTGTTCCAATTTTTTTAATACCTAATCAGGGAGTTAATACGTGAAACAGTCTTTTCCTTCACTTATCAGGCAAAATTGTATTGTCAAGATAGCATTTAAGAGGTCAAATTTCATCCTGTTTCTTAGGTTAGATTTGATAAATTCACTCCAAATGAAAAACATCTAGAAAATCTTATACCATCTAAACGTCAAAAACGCAATCTAAATGCCAGGGAGAACATCTAAATCTGGATGTAAAACATCCAAAGTGGCAACACTGGATGTAGCAGTTAAGGGTTCCCTAATTATACCTTCTTTGCTCATATTTATAGACCAATGGGCACTCAGTGGCTGAAGTGGTCAGTCTCACGCCGGCCTTCTTTACTTTCCAGTACATTACCTGGTACCTAATGTAGTCTGGATCAACCTGGAAGCCAATTTTAGAAACAATGTTCTTTGATTTGGATTCAAACTCATGACCTTAAGGGCTGCAGGCAGGCATCTAGTCACTTTACTACTGTTGCTGCCGGGAATGTTATGAGGTGATGTATATTTGAAAATATGACAATTGGTAAGTTAAACTGGGGAAAAAAGCAAGAGGATGCAAAGAGATTTACGCCTGGATAACTTCACCATATGACATAATTGTGGCAAAAACATAGAGCTGATTGAAGATGCATGATGTTATGTTATTCAAAAAATATTAAGAAACGAACAAGGAAAGCATAGAAGGTAGCAAAGTTTTTAAAAGGGTAGGAAATTCTAGGAAAAAGAAGGGGTAAGAAAAAACATAGTTTATATCAGCTTTACAAAATTAAGTACACTGAACAAACAAAGGACGTTGCGGAGATCAGCCTTTATCAGCACATAAAGAACAACACAGCACACATACACAGGACCATTATGTACTAAATAAATGATACTCATCTGTGTCACTGGTAAAAACTTCGTTCAAGAGGATGAACAGGACAGGTACTAACCCATATATAGCCACCGCGCGGATGGGAAGCGAAAACTGGGTCGGTATACCTGAATGATGGGAGGAGTTAACGTCAACAGACACCAGTGTTCACTGAGTGTCTAAAATGGGGAGGGAGGGGTCAGCCAAAATGGCGTAACCAGGGTTGGGTCGAGGGATGACACTAGTACATCCAAGTGGGATAAAAGTGATGCCAGTGTTGGCGTACAAATACGGATAGACAGGCAAGCAGAAAGGCATGCAGATAGAGTAGGTAGCAAAGCATGATCTACTATGCTTTCCTTGTATGTTTCTTGGTATTTTCAGTAACATTACATCTTGAGTCCTTCCATTCATTTAAAAACTACATGAAATCAGGACAAATAGTCACTAACTTTCATTATAAGAAATACAGTACATCATTTAGACAATATCATCATCATCATCAGGCTGTGCCATTTTACATCACATTAGGCTCATAGTTTATTCTTCCATTCCATTCTGCCCTGAGCATTTGTTTCAATATTACGTATGGGATCCAGTCCAACCGATTTGGCATCTCTCATCAACGATTATCAAGGGCAGGGCTGTTTAGCTTGCGGCCAGTGGGCCAAATTTGTATTCTATGATCTGTCCATGTTGCCTGCTTGGACCTCTGGCCCGTGACGATCCTCATTTACAACATTTTGGCCCCTGAGTAAATTTAATTGAATAGCCGTGGTCTGGGGTTTCTTTTGAATGTCTTCGGTGTAATTGTTTTTGTGAAATTTGCCTGTCTGGTTAATTGTTATTTTTATTATTATTATCTGGTCTTACTAGTCACGCTTTCAATCGCCATGGGCTGTAGGGGCAGAGTTGCCATACTGGCGTATTCTGGGTAGTAGCTTGGCTTAAAATGAAGTTTTTTGTTTTTTTTAAATCTGGCAACTCCGGTTAGAGGTTTGGTAACTTCGTTGAAGGCTGGATGGCGTGTGTGAGATTAGGTCCAGATTAAGGTTTCTTGAAATCCCAGGATAAGATAGTAATATTGTTATATAAGTTAGCGGCCAAGACGGGACAGACTGTTCGATCGATAGTAAGATGGGCGATTGCAGTAGAGACCAGGAATGCCGCCACAAAGAAATCACTAGGGGGGTGGGGGGTGGGTGATAATTTCATAAGGGCCAGGGGCCTCAATCCTTGTTTAAATGCGCAGCATCATTACTATTATTATTATGGGCTGAATGACCGATAAATATAATCACCATCTTCTTAGCGTTCACTAGCTGTAAATTTAGGCGGAAAGTTCTGGTTGTTCGTCCACTTCTGGACATTGATCTTGTTCCCGATCAAGACATCTTTGTCGTGGTAAAGATTATGTAGTTGGTGGTTGTAATGGTTGTTGTTGTGCGTTGTGTTTTTTTGTTTTGTTATGAAGACATATCAAATAGTGTAGGTGTGGGCCGCTTAACTCTGTGGCTATCATATCGTGATACCATGGAATTGGGTACCTGAAGCTGTGATCTAGACAGGTTTTTGTTTCCTTCATTTTCTCACTTCCCTTCTTCGTAGCTTTTACCCTGTGTTCGTGTTGTTTTTGCTTTCCTTCTTGAATTCCCCACAGTGAGAAGGAGGAGGAGGGGAAGAAAATTGAAGAAACTGCTGAAAAAGAAGACCCAAAAAAAAAGGTATTCCTCCAATGAATCATCGTCATCCTGGTGTGCTGTGATGCTTCACTTAGGGCTCGATGTCTATCCTTCCAC